TCTTCTTGAAGCGGCCCACCTCACTCTCACATAGGTGACTTATGTTGTTTTACTCTTCGAAACACACAATGGTCATTAAAAGCTTTGTTTAGCTTATACCAATTTGACCACTGTTTACATCATAGAAATGGACTTGGGGTATGAAACCCCCACAGTGATCGCACACGGTTTATGCAATTAGGTTGTCCCTTTGAACCTAGATCTTGGGATCTCGAGTCAACAAGGTAGAATTTTCCTTCGCATAAAGTCTTTCATTTCATGGGATTTAGTCTTATTCCTTTCGGTGTTTTCTCAACTTGATCTCACTATTAACTTTTCGGTTAGTGAATCTGCGATGTTTTCTCAACAACCTAGATCAGTTGTCTAATGGTATTGTGTTGATCATGTATATATCTCAACTTACCATTATACATAAATTTTTGTGCTCTACTAATATATGAATATTATGGGCACAAACTTTGGCCATTCAAGAATATCCTCCAAGGAATTCTAAAACCATTCAACTTATTTTCTAGACATGTCTAAAGCTACAAAAGCTTATTCCATTTTGGATTTGTTATAACAGTTTTCTTGAGGATTTCTATGGCATGACTTCTCTTCCTAATGTGAAACATATTCACTTGTTCCTTTGATAATTTAAATATTAGATATTCAACTGGCATCAGAGTATCCTTCTAAGGAAGCATGATATTGGGATAATACAATCCATACCCTTTAGCATATTTGAGATATCTTAGTTCTCTCATAATTGTTTTTCAGAGGTTTGTCATAATGATAATATATTTTGTTTTAACCTTTCATTGAACATCTAGACATATCTTTATTTATAGTTTTCAATCATCTTCCTTAGTTATATAAGGGAATATATTTTCAAAGAATGAGATATTCTTTGATATCGTTATGTGTTCTTGTGAATCTCGGGATTCTTTGATTCATACACAAGATGTCGATATGTCTTGCTATAATCTACATAGCCAATATAATCCATCGATTTAGGAATTATTTTCATTTGATAATGAGATTATTATCTTTACAATACACCTCCATATTTTTAAGTAATTATAGGAATATTTTCTACATTTTCGTAACCCATATCGTGTCTTGTCAATTTTTTTTCGAAGAACCTTATTTAAAAGGTAATTAGATGAAAATAGCTTCCTCCACATGTTTTGTGATAAACTATAACTTCTTAGCATTGCATTCATAATTTCCTTTTTTAATAATTAATTCTTCTTCTTTGTTAGCCCTATGATGGTGTCACTTTATGAATAATATCATATTGTGCACAATATTGACTAATTAATGGTTCAATTTATTCATCACCATTATCACTTTTTACTATCTTAATGATTTTATTAAATTGGTTTTCAACTTTGAATTTATAGAGAATAGATTTCTCTATAGATTCACATTTGTTCATTAGCAAATATATAGCAATACATTTTTCTATCACCAATGAAGGTAATAAATATTTATTTCTTCTTATTTGTAAAAGTAGATTCAGGTAAACCCATTATTACGACAGGAATTCAATTTCCCAAAAAAAAATTACTTTCAATATCTCACTTTAAAAACATATTGAGATTGTAGAGAAAAAAATTTAACGATTTATTTGTTTCTTTTGAAATAGAATCATACTTGATTCCCAAGAAAATAAATTCAATCCACTGATTTGTTTTCTTTTACAAATTATGGAAATAAATCGTTAAATAAATCTAGCAATTTATCTCCTTTTCCAAACAAGAATCATACAAGATTTCAAAAGTAAATCCAATGATTTATTTCCTTTTACAAAATAGGAAAATAAATCCAACGATTTATTTCCTTTTACGAAATAGGAGAATAAATTAAACGATTTATTTCAATTTATTTCTTTTTACAAAATAGAAAATAAATTCAATGATTTATTTTCTTTTTTCAAAATAGGAAAATAAATCCAACGATTTATTTCTTTTTACATATCATAATCATACAAGATTCTTAGCAAATCAATTTAACGATTTATTTCCTTATACAAAACAGGAAAATAAACTCAACGTTTTATTTCCTTGCATAAAATAGGAAAATAAATCTTATACAAAACAAAGAACTAAACTCAACGATTTGTTTCATTTTCCAAAATAGGAAAATAAATCTGACGATTTATTTCATTTTAAAAGATAAAATCATATAAGAAAATAAATTCAACAATTTATTTCTTTATTCAATATTCTCGAGGAAATCAATTGTTTAACAAAATAGAATCACTTAAGATTCTAAAAAAAAATTAAAATTTATTTATTTTTAAATGATAGAATCATTCACGATTCTAAAGAAAATAAATTCAATAATTTATTTTTCTTACAAAGTTAAATCATTTAAGATTTCAAGGAAATAAATCCAATAATTTATTTTTCTTACAAAGTTAAAATTATTCAAGATTCTCAAGGAACAATTTTATTTCCCTAACAATGTTAGAATCATTCAAGATTCTCAATGAAATAAATTCAATAAATTAACATTATAAAGTTAGAATCAACGCAAGATTCTACGATGAATTAAATCCAATGATTTATTCATTTATATTATGTTAACCGACGAGATTAGTAACACTAAAATTCGAAACAGATATATAACAACGACTCGGTTCTGTTTAATAAAAAATCAAAAGGAATTGATCCTTTAATTTTACCGACCCAATAATCACAAAAACTATTCATTTGATTTTTAATTTTCGCAATCCAATAATAGAAAGGAATTAATCATTTGATTTTACTTTTATACAAATCAAAAGGAACAAATCCTTTTGATTTTATTTTTGACAACTCAATAATCAAAAGCCTTAGATTAAACTCTAAATCCATCTGTATCTATAAAATTTCTTTTGTAACATAGACAATAATTATTGGAACATTTAATAATAATTATAAATACCAAATGTATTTTTATTCATGTCATATTTAATATTCCATATTAATAGACCAAAGGTTATATGATAATAATACCATAACAATAATATCATGAACAATATCATAATCAACACTCACGTGCTCTTTTATGGGCGAAATCTTACCATAGTATAGAAAGAATAACATTGTTTCTTTAATTACTCTACATTTATAGTCAATAACCACATATGGAATTTTTATTTCTATAACCAAAGAATCACATTTTTTCCTTCATTTGTGAAAAAGACAAATCACCATACATTTGTGTATTTACACAAGTTGGTTCTTATATGAGCTTGCAAAGCAATTTACAAAAAAAAACTCATGTATCATTGCGCAGATTCAAATCAATCTCGCTTATTTTATTTTTTATCGAACAGAAACAACATTTCAAACATAGTAACCAACGTTACTTTAATTTCTATTAAATAGATTTGTCCACTTTGAAATTAAGCAAACCCGTTAAAACGATAGTATAAATCCCGAAAACAAATTTATTTGTTTATCTCAATTTTTTAAAGATTTTTGAATCGTCTCAGATTTATTTTTCCTCCAGAAAGGTAGAATACAAAATATGTCTTAAGATTGTTATATGTATAACAATCCGATACGAAAAGAAAATAAAAAATCAAACATTTTATAAATCCACAATTTATTCCATGGTGATTCATACAAGTAGCGTCAAACGACATTCAATTCCTCAGCATAATCTCGCCGTAAAATTCGTGTATATGAATCAAGAATAAAACAAAGACAATTAATAACATAGAAAATATTCGATTAAATAATTTGAATATAAAACCATAAATATATAAATAGAAATAAGTTGAGGTATGCAATTACGCAGTTTCCTTAAGACAGATTTTCTGTCACTCTTTGGTGCTAGAGATATTTGATCATTTGTCTCCCATGATACAACAACAAGATGATCAACACACTATAACACAACTGTCGAGATTACAAATTATTTATTGTCTTTGTCTATCACCAAAAACTAGAGAAAAGAATTCATTTGAATTGGTTTTTGAGTTGTTTTTTAATTATGTTTAACATAGTTGGTTAACACGATATTTATAGAGAGTTCACATTGTGAACAATTGAAATTTTTTGACCTAATGAAGCATTAATGAAAATCAAACTATTAAGTTATTTCCAAAATTACTGTTTTGATTAAAAAATATTTTAATATTTATCCTTTAATTTCAAAATAGATTTTGAAAAAATAGTTTCTATTTGAAGAAATATCTCACATTTGTGTTAAATATTCGTAAGCCTGCAAAGAGTTAAACCGGTTCAGACATTCACGTTACCCACATCATGTATGTCTGCACATGTACGAGCACTGTCTAACAAAATTTTAGCGAGCATAACGAGTAAAAAATCGAGTTGAGAAATATTTTTTTTTGAATGAGTACGAGTCGAACACGGTTTAACTTGCGATTAACTCTCTCGATAATCATCTTCTCTCGATAATCATCTTTGGTCATCTCTCTGCCACTACTTATCTTGTGAATTTTACTTGGTCTGAGATATTACTTCTACAGAAGAGCTAGTAGGCGAGACAATGTAATAACCCCCAGATTTATGGTGCACCTGTTCCGCCGCCTGGTGTAGCTTCTCCGCCTAACACCAAGCCTGACAACTTGGCTAGTGTCTGACAGGGTCCAAGATGGGTTTTATTGTAGACATAAAGTTGATTGTTTGTGTTTTTGTTGCTTATAATTGTGTGACATTTAGATATATTGTGTTTGCATATCCGTGTGAAAAATTAGATAGAATAAAATCTCTAAAATCTAGATGAAATATTGGGTGAAATATAATGTTCAGATAAAAACCCTTGGACCCATTACATCCATATTTACAACCGTTACAATGCACTAGTCAGTAGCGTCTGGCTCATGTTCAAACACGAAATACTTAAACTTTGGACAAAAAAATCAGGATGTAAGAGAATCCGAAACTCACACCAAGTCAGCAGTTAACCAATCACAACCATCCATCTCAGCTTTCTTATCCTTCTTCCCACCACTAGTCCCTCCGCTACCCGAATCTAAAATTCTAAATCACATCCCTCCATTTCTCTCTTGCTTCATCATCAACAAAGAGAATACCAGAAAAAGTAAAAAAGGAAACAAAGAAGGAAGACTCCCAAGATGTCTCTTACAATCCCAACTAATCTCTCAAAATCGCTCCTGAAGCCAAAGCTGAAGTCCCAAGTTACCCCCAAGTTTTCATCAAGATCATTGATCGTATGCTCCTCCGACAAATCGGCTTCACCTCTCAAGCCTTCTCAGCCGCTCTCGCTCTTTCTTCCATTCTTCTTTCGGCTCCACTCCCTGCTGTAGCAGACATTTCGGGGCTCACTCCATGCAAGGAGTCCAAGCAATTCGCCAAGCGCGAGAAGCAGCAGATCAAGAAGCTGGAGTCGTCGTTGAAGCTTTACGCCCCCGACAGCGCACCGGCTCTCGCCATCAAAGCAACCATCGAGAAAACCAAGAGACGGTTCGACAACTACGGCAAGTACGGCCTACTTTGCGGCTCCGATGGGTTGCCTCATTTGATTGTGAGCGGCGACCAGAGGCACTGGGGTGAGTTCATCACTCCCGGACTGTTGTTCTTGTACATCGCTGGATGGATCGGGTGGGTAGGAAGAAGCTATCTCATTGCTATAAGCGATGAAAAGAAGCCAGCCATGAAGGAGATCATCATCGATGTGCCTTTGGCTACCAGCCTCATCTTCAGAGGCTTTATTTGGCCTGTCGCTGCCTACAGAGAGCTCGTCAATGGTGACCTTGTTGTCAAGGACGTCTAATCTCCCCAGGTCTACATCTCTTCTCTTTCTATCTTCAAAATCTTTATTAATGTCTGTGTTACAATAATATCATTATAATCGTGGAAAAATACTGTATGATAGTACGAAGGTTTTCTTATTTTCTTGTGAAAATCATGAAAGAAACCTAACGGGTATTGAATAAACATAAATTTCATATGTTTACTGTAATTGAATGCATAAACTAATCATTTGACTGTACCACAGTTTGATTTGGTTTCATCTGATTTGTACTAAGTATACAGAGATTGAATGGGACAACGACTAGGATGGGAAGGAAGATGGAAGCCCTTTAAACTGAATATTTATGGAAAAATAGGCGTCTTGGGAAAATTCTTGTACGCATATATCTGTGTGTTTTAAGTTTTTTTGCAATCTTTATGTAATGCTAATGCTAAACATTTGGTTTTCTTTCCATGTCTGTCTTTATTGTCTACATTTTATCGATAATATATACAGTTTATTAACAAATATATATTATAAATACAATTGTTTAAACTCAAATATTTTAAAGAAAATAATATTCATTTTTACTATGAATATCGATCATTCAAAATATTATAATTTATGAATGATAGAGAATGGAGTACCTATCATAAATTCGAATAACCTTATTAAATCGGTTACATAAATCAAAATAGACTAAAACCAAATCCATTATATAAAGTTAAAACTATACATGCACATTATATATAGTTAATGACAAACACCATTCTCAAACCAAAGCTGAATGACCTAAACAACCACAATAGCCGCCACAGCGCCACCACCTCTCTTTTTGTCTACTCAAATTGATGTATATAAGATAATTTAGGGATTATAATAAGAGAGAAATTAAGCATAGGGTGACAAAAATGTAGCCTATATATGTAATATACTTAAGCTAGCTAGCATGACCACATGGACTCTCCCAAGCTAGCCTGGTCAAGTACCATATCCATGTCAAAAATAGGCTCGGCTTGTGAACCCATGAGCCTAGATGAGGGTGACCCAATATGACTTGGGCTTGCAGGGCCGAACCCATGATGTGAAAAAGGCACAGTCTGTTTCACCCGGAGCTGCACCGCCTCTGCCTGTGCCAGTGCCAATTGAGTTTGGAGGGTGTATATTTGTTGTTGTAGTGATGATATGGCTCCGATACACCCATAAACCGGGTCACGTACCCTGGCGTTGGCCTCGTACACCATGCTGCTAACGGCGTCATCCCGTTGGTGCACTGGTAAGTCCTGCAAGTTCGATAGCTTAGTCCAGTTAGCCTGCAGGGCCCAAGAAAGGCCCATGGGTAAAAACCCAAGGTGATATGAGCTAATGGTGACATCATTTTAACATCTTTCCTTGCATCGTTTTCTATGTGCTAGTGAATTTGTCAAAAGTCCAAACTATATGACTTTTGAAGTTTAGAGCAAGTTCCTTTTTATATATTTTGTTTTGTAAATAATGTTAAACTAATTAATATATAAATATATTGTGTTTGATTTTTGGTGGCTTAAGTCTTCATTAATTATTATTTTAGTCCGAATGGATCTCTTCGGTGAAAAGACAATTTTCCAATTTTGGGTCTAGTCATGTATACCTATTTTAAGCTGGAAAAAGAACTGGTCAAAAAGGAATTTTATGTAATTTCACTGAGAAAAGCACCTAGAAAACATCTTCACGTGGTCTGCGAACAGCCCTTAGACATTTAAGCAGGAAGAAGAAAAAAATAAGCAAACAAAAACTACTATTCACATATATTTTAATAAACAAATTTGTTTCTCAAGCGTTCTCCATAATGCATTTTGAAGTTCATTAATGTAACCGAGTTTGAATCTTGAGTTCATGTTACTCTATGATTTTTGGTGTTTAATACATATCTACCAACATATATTCAGACACACCAATTAACATATAATCTTCTTATATATATATATAACTATTTTTTTAAAAAAAAATAAGAGTTTATCTTAGGAAATCTACTCGAGAATTCAAGAAATGTAGAAGTGCGAGTTTCTACCACAAATCTAGTTGAACTTAAAAAAGAAAATAAGGAAACAAGTTGTTGTGATTACCCTAGGGAACAGCATATATAGGGGCAGGAAACGATTTTGTAATTTTGGTTTAAGCTTTAAACATATTATACCGTCTAATTAAACTGAAAAGAAAAAGCATCACAGTCAATTTTATTAAAGGAAGCAAGCTTAAGAAGTTAAAAAATGAGTTTAACTCGGTAGTGTAGAATTAATTTCCCCTGGTTTAAATGGAGAAATATTGCCACCATTCTAAAGCATGGGTGGGAATATTGACTATGGAGTTCCCTAAGGCTAAGGGTTTTTGAAGCAAGTAAAATGGAACCTGGAGCATCTTGTTGACGTTGCTAGCACCAAAGACCTTGTGCACATTAGCGAACTTGTGAGGCTCATCTGCAGGAAAATAAGGAGCAAAAACACAGTCTTGGGCACACCTTCTCCTTAGAAGCTTGCATGCTGCGCATGGTGATGCTGCCCCCTGTTTCCTCCCACTCTCCTTCATGCTGTCTCTCTCTCTCTCTATATATATATATAGTTGGAATATGAAGGACTGCCCTCTCTCACTAGAATTTGATACTTGCACTTTCAAGACAAAAAAGCTTACTCCTGCTTTAATTTATATGCTTTTCCTTGGAGATGATACAAATAGAAGGATAAGTGAGGAAGGATCCATAGCAAAAAGAGATCAGATTGATACCGAAAAGAGAGAGAGGGGAGAGATGGTATTAAATAAGAAAATGACAAACACGTAACATTTAAGATGGACCCCACTTTTTATTTAATAAAAGCCTAAACTTCCATGTATATGTTTACTCGTACGATAGATCATGTAATACACATATATCATATTTGAAAAATAGAAATGGTAAACTAACTTTAAAATATTATATGTGAATCATTAATTATTTTTTATTTATTTGAAAAGATAATATTTTTTAAAAAAAATATTTATGAAAATGACTTTAGAACTTTATCAAATAATATTTAAATTTATAAAATAAAATTATTTTGTTAGAATAAAATATAAAATCTCAAAACTTAAGATTACTATAAAAAAATTAAAAAAAAAATTAAACAAACCGAGTAGTACACCCCCCCCCTCTTCTCAATTGCTGCGTTACCCGATGTTTCGTTATAATATTTGCATGTTAACACACTCTCTAGTGTGAAAACGACGCATGTGCATGCTTGGGAGCATAACATAACATGCTAATTAATAATAATTTCAACATTAATCGTGATAAGACTAGGTTTTCGCCAACAATATAAACGTATATGTTCATATTTGTGGATCCGATGTATCTTTAACAAATTTTAATTTTCTCATAATTAAATTTTTTAAAATTATCAAATATTTTTTAAAAAATAATTAAATATTTATTTATCAAATTTTGAGATATCAAGGTCCTCTTTAGCTCCTATAACGAACCGTTCTTGGTGTGAACCTATCGACAGCTTAGTCAATTTAGATATACTTAAAAACTTTAAATGCTATAATTAATTATTTATTTTCTCATACTTCTCATTCATAAAATTAAGCGATCTGCATGTTTTTTCTCACATGTATACATGTTTTCATCTCTCTTTATTTTTCTGAATTTTTAGGGGTGTTTGGATGGGGAATGTGGGATTCCCATGGGAATGGAATCCACATTCCCCCGTTTGGTTAGTCCGGGAATCTCATTTCCTGTAATGTAAGATTATCAATAGTGGATTTTTTGGGGTATATTACCGGGAATGTCATTACCTCCATTTCCTTATGTATTGTTGGATTCCCGGCGTTTTGGACTAAAATGCTCTTAAATTTTTTTAAATATCATTTTTCTGTCATTGAATAATAAAAATTCTACGAATGTTAAATTATAAATTTATCCTTAAACTATTTTAGATTTACAAAAAAAAATCTATAATTAAAATTTTATATGAAGTTCAGGGGTTAAAATAAAATTTTATCCTTTCATTAAACCTTTTTATATTTTCAATTTTGTAAAAAAAATTATATAAATTTTATGAATTTAAATTTTTTAAAGAAAATATATAAATATTTTCCAACTTGTTAAAAAACCAAATATATAATAAGGACAATTTAGTCAAATATACATTCCAATAATCTTTTATTCCTTTAACCAAACACGGTAATCTTACATTCCTGTTAAGCCAACCAAACACAAAATACAACATTCCCAGTAATCATATTCACTGATAATCTTACATTCTTACTGGTAATCTTCCATTCCGTGAACTAAACACACCCTTAAAGTTTTGTGATGTGCGCTTTCCCAACATAAATTAACATATTATTCTCATGAATAAAAACAACTTAATTATTATAAAACATCAATAATGTTTACCACATAAAAAAGAAAAATGGTCATGCTAGGGTTTTTTCCCTTAAAAAATTCAGATAAAGGTAAAAAAAGAAATATGGCGTGCTGCGAAATGATAAAATAAAGGTAATAATGAAGAGCAGTTTGCCTTGACATGTTGGCTTTAATTTAATTGAAAGTAGCACTTCCTTTCTTTTTTTGAACACATAGGAAGTTTTGTTAGTTATAAAACGATTTACTTTTTGAATTATAATGATTAACTATTTTCAACACGTAATAAAATAATTAATGATGATTTGCAAGATTATGATAACATTAATTTAGTTAAGCTAACCAACCAGGAAATTCATTAAAAAAAGTGTCTGTGTGTGTTTTTTTCTAACAACTAAAATTAAATTTATGCATTAGTAAATCAATTTTACTCTAATTATAAATATTGTTCTAATTTAAACTTTTATTGTGTATATAAAAATATTTATTATAACTATTAGTTTATGTGTAACTTGTATCAAATGAAATAATTGTTTTTGTATAGAAATGTGTATTAATTATTATTAACTAAGATCCTAGTCTTTTGAAAATAAATCTATCAACGGATTGGTTTAAGTGGTAAGTAACTTAATATAACTTAAGCAATGTCTCACGTTCGAATCATTGTATACGTAGAAAATTCTCATTGAGAAATTCACCTACCAAAAGTCTAAAACTAAATGTGCGACCTAGGTCAGTTCAGATTAATCAGAGCGAAATATTTAAACTAGATGTAAACCAAAAATAAAATATCTTTGTCTGTATGAGATAGAGACGTGTACGTCTAGCCTATTTCAAACCCGAAACTCAAAACTCATAAGGTGCATTTGAGTTAAGATCTATCTTATCAAAGTTGAAAACTTGAATGGGTGGGCGATTTATTTATCCCCTTTCCAAAGTTTGATGGCCTCAGCCCTCATATCATTTGGGAGTGAATAATTATTTAGTGAGACAACATAATTGAGAAAGAAAGGGTGCCTTGATGCTTAAGCAAACTCTTTTAGGTCCAATGCCCACTTATCCACTAATCAAAAGCGATTAAGGACCCGAATTCTGACATCATGTTTAAAG